CCATTCCCATTCCCATTCCCATTCCCATTCCCGTGGGATCCCCACCCGTGTGGATGCCGATGCCCATTCCCATTCCCATTCCCGTTCCCGTTCCCGTGGGATCCCCACCCGTGTGGATGCCGATGCGCAGCTCCAGCTGCTGCTGCGGCCGGTGGCGGATGCGGAAGGAGCGCACGGCGTCCAGCAGGGCCAGCGCCATCCGGGCCACCTCGGGCGCGTGCAGCTTCCCGTTGCGCACCGGCAGCCCCGACACCACCATGTAGGCGTCCCCGATGGTCTCCACCTGCGGGAAGAGCGGAATTCCCGCCGGGAATGGGCGGCTCCCGGCCCCGGGAGCAGGGGATGGGGAACACCTCGGGCTCCGGGGTCCTGGGGGGCTTTTCCTACCTCAGCCACCCCAGGATTCCGGGCTCTGGGGGTTCTGCGGTGCAGGGGATTTGGGATTCTGTAACCCCGGGATTTTGGGGTGGTGGGATTGTGGGATATCAAAATCCCAGGGAGCTGGAACTGGAATTTTGGGATTGTGGGATATCAACATCCCAGGGAGACGGAACCGGGATTTTGGGATTTTGGGATATCAACATCCCAGGGAGCTGGAACTGGAATTTTGGGATTCTGGGATATCAACATCCCAGGGAGCTGGAATCAGGATTTTGGGATTGTGGGATATCCAAATCCCAGGGAGCTGGAACCGGGATTTTGGGATTGTGGGATATCCAAATCCCAGGGAGCTGGAATCGGAATTTTGGGATTCTGGGACTCCCTGCTCCTGGCGTTTCCCGACCCTGGAATTCCGTGACTCCTGCGGCGACATCTCCATCCCCCGTCCCCTGGCGTCCCCTCGCGCTCACCTTGTAGACGTCGAAGTTGTCGATGATGGCGTCGAAGCAGGTGTAGAGGTCGTTGAGCAGCGTCACCACCTGCATGGGCGTGCTCTGCGCCGACAGCGCCGTGAAGCCCACGATGTCGCTGAAGTAGATGGTGACGCTGTCGAACGCCTCCGCCTGCACCGTCTCCCCCCGCTTGAGCTGCTCCGCCACCGAGCTGGGGACGGGAGCGGGGGGTCAGGGCGGGCACGGCCCCCCCGGGCGCCCCCCGGGACCCCCCCGGAGCTCACTGGGGCAGGATCTGGTAGAGCAGAGCCTCGGCCTTGCGCTTCTCCTCCAGGTACGCCTGCGTGCGCTCCTCCACCAGCTCCTCCAGGTTGTTGGCGTATTGCTCCATGCGCGACAGGAGATTGTCCAGGATGTTGGTGCTGCTCTCCCTGCGGGAACGGGGTCACCTCCTGCACAGGGACCCTTTCTGGGGGTCACCTCCCACCTGGGGACCTTCTCTGGGGTCACCTCCCACCTGGGGACCCTTT